TTCGACTAACTCTCCTTTCTCTCTTGTCTTTTTATCTTTTCTGGCTTATTTTCTTTCTCTTTCTCTCAATTTTTGGCGCCACACAATTCTCGCCAAAAAAAAAAAAAAAAAAAAAACACAGCCTCCACTTTTATTTGTAGGGCTTTGTTTTGTGGTCAAAGGCAAAAGGCTTTAGGCTTTTTAATTGGCTAAACAATGGAACTGGACCTCACATTCCTAACAGTTCTTTCTTAAAAATTATTTAATAAAAATTTTAATAAAAAATCAAAATCGATAAATTGATAGAGTTCGATGTAAATATAAAAAATATGTAAAAAAAATTATTAAAAATATTGTTTATAATTCAAATTTGATCGATATCTATTTAACAGTAAAAATTATGTCAACATTTTTACTAAAATATATATCAAATTTTTTTCAAACTTTGTACACTTGATCTATGTAATGATATCTTTCAATCTATCGATTTTGATTTTTTATCTTAGTTTTCATTTAATCATTTCTAATAGAGAACTTCATGAACTTCACCTAAAAAACTTTATCTAAGTCTTTCCCCTTTCAATGTATAGATTATATACATTGTTAGTGAATTAAATGATATCACTTCATTAATAAAGTGAATCGGATAATGCTATTTTCATTAATAAATAAATTTTTTAAAAATATTAATTTTTGTATATTTATTTTAAAGGTTGATATTTACTCATTGATGTCATCATCTGATTCACTAATAATGTATAAAATTTATAAACTGATAATGCATCAAATATAAGGGTTTTTTTTTTTATTAGTTAGCAAACTAAAGCAATCTGCTCACAATTATGTACATGACTTAAACAAACTAATTTTTTGAGAATTTAGGTCTACCTCTCTCATATATGAACTTAAAAAAAGGTTAAATTAATTATGGATTAAATAACTTACTATGTAAGAAGTTGATATTCCGTTGAAGGAGTTGCCTGCAATGATATAGTAAAGCACTTAGAGAAACAATTAAGTTGATGCAATTTAATTTCATTATTAAATTACCTTTGCCACTGCTTTATAGAATTTGATATATAATATTTTATAAAAAATAATCAAAAATTAAATGATTAAATGAGTTAGATAAATATAATTTTATTAAAATAAAAATTAAATAATTTATATTTTAAAATAAAAAATATTTATTCCCTTGGAGCACACTAGTTTACATTATTTTTGACATACTATTTACATTTTACATCCAAGTACAAAAGGTTATATAGGCTACAAGGTAAGTCAATGGTGGTATTTTGGTTAGATAGTTTTTGTTAGATCAAATAATTTGAAATACGATATAATGACACGATATAAAAATAATATAAATATAAGACATAAAGATAACATGATTTAAAATTTAAAAAAATTATAAATAAATTTAATAAAATCAAAAAATTATATTTTATATTTTCATATCGACACAAATTATGAGATGAAATTTTCATATAAAATACGATACAAATAAAATATTTTACATGATATGATGACACAAATTATCAAATTTAATTTTTTTCCATCCAAATTAAAATGGGAATTCTAGATGTCAAAGATGGAAACTCAAATTCTAACCGCAGAGAAATTCATATTTTACACATTCTATTACTGTTATTTGCTATTTTTTTTTTCTCGTTGTTAAAGTTATATATGGCTTTTTTTTATTTAAAAAAAAAATCGAACGTTACATTTTTAGTAAGAAAATATGCACCAATTGAACCAAACAATCAGCGCATATAAAGCTAATATTTTAGTTGGGATAATGTCCCAAAAGCCCCTAAATTATTATAAATTTTTAATGTGATACTTAAACAAAAAAAAAATGTAATTAAGTACTTAAACTTCTATTTTGTCTATCTTGTAGCCTAAGATACGAGAAAAGGTTAGACTGGTTTAAATTTTAATTTTAGATTTATTAGATGTTACATATTAAGAATTGTTGTATGAATCAAGAGATATAAATTATGGATTCAAACATTTTCTTTTGATAAAAATAGAAACATTATGTAGAATAATGCATATATACCTCAAAATAAATTTTCATTAATGCAATTTTCACCATTATATTTCCAATTCTATGATATTTGGCCTATTCATATTTCATTGATAAAGACCAAGATGCAAAGCGCATGTGCAAAGAAAAAACAGAGCATGTAAGTTCATGTCTGTTTAATATTCTTTACCGGAGAGATTCTAAAGCATGACTAAAGAAAAAGATTGTACAATCGACATATATTCTTTGTTTACCATAACTTTTGCACTTTTTATTTTATTGTGTTTTCTCCTTCATTCCTTTGAACCAGATAGACTTTATCAGTACAAATTATTACTAGATATGAAGCCCAACATAAAGTAGTTTCTGTTCAACAAGAAAGTAGTTCATAAATATTCCCCAATGCACATGAGAAAAAGTTCGGGTTCCCATTACGGTTGGCCCTTTATTGTGTAATGCTTGTGAAATTGACCTTCCTTCGTTAGTGGCATTACTTGTTTTGGTTGGTTTCAAGCTAACTTTTGAGGTAGATGAACTATTGTTATCTCCTCGCCAAACACCCCTAGGTGAACTCGTAAAAAAACATGTTTTGTATTTGATGTATTAATACGAATTCTGATATAATAATTTTTTTATATATGTTAAATATGAAATAAACAAATGCAGATATACGAATTACTAGATCTAAAGTGTTACGGTTTGGATTCGCAATTGGTTTAGCTTTCTTGCAAATGATGGCTTTAAGTTCATCATCTCCATCACAAAATCAACTTGCCTAGCACAGGCTGCTACATGCAATGGGGTATCAACAAAAGGAACCTGATCAATATGCTCTAAAACATATGGATCTTCCTGGATTAATTCATACAAAACGTTAATATTTCCTGTTCGTGCAGCCTCTATCATCCTCCAATCCATAACAATGGGGATAATAAATTATGCAGCAAAATTTCAGGCTACTGAAAACTAAAAATATTTGCTAGAAAAGACCAGAGCAGTTGAAAGAATAATAAAGAAACATATGATAATATAAAAAAAGGAAATGTGAACCTATATATAATTAGAGATCTTTTTTCTTCGCTTTTTTTTTTTTTTATTAGTTAGCAAACCACAGCAATCCACTCACAATTTTGTACATAACTCAAGCAATCTAATTGTTAGAGAATTTAGGTCTAACTCTTTCATAGATGTACTTAAAAAAAAGGTTAAATTAATTATGGATTAAAGCACTTACTATGTAAGAAGTTGAAAATATGCACCAATTGAACCAAATAATCAGCGCATATAAAGCTAATATTTTAGTTGGGATAATGTCCCAAAAGCCCCTAAATTATTATAAATTTTTTAATGTGATACTTAAATTTAAAAAAATTATAATTAAATATTTAAACTTTTATTTTGTCTATCACATAGCGTAAGATACAAAAAAAGGTTAAAATTGTTAAAATTTTAATTTTAAATTTATTAGATGTTATCTATTGAGAATTATTGCATGAACCAACAAATATAAGTTACTGATTCAAACATTTTCTTTCGATAAAAATAAAAGCATTACGTAGAATAAAGCCTATATACCACAAAATAAATTTTCATTAATGCAATTTTCACCATTATATTTTCAATTCTATGATATTTGGCCTATTCATGTTTCATTGATGCAGACCAAGATGCTAAGCGTATGTGCAAAGAAAAAATAGATCATGTAGGGACATGTCTGTTTAACATTATTCTTTACTGGAGAGCTTCTAAAGCCTGGCTAAAGAAAAAGATTATTTGTTTACCATAACTTTTCCACTTTTATTTTATTTTCTTTTGCACTTCATTGCATTGAACCAGATAGACTTTATCAATACAAATCATACCTAAATATGAAGCCCAACATAAAGCAGTTTGAGTTCAACAAGACAGTAGTTCATAAATATTCCCCAATATTGAACCCTTTTTGTTAACAAATGGACATATGCTACATGAGAAAAAGTTCCGGTTCCCATTACTGTTGGCCCTTTATCGTGTAATGCTTGTGAAATTGACCTTCCTTCATTAGTGACATTAATAGTTTTGGTTGGGTTCAAGCTAGCATTTGAGGTAGATGAACTAGTGTAATCTCCTTGCCAGACACCTCCAGGAGGACTCAATGAATCTTGGTAAGTGGCTGATATGATTAGCATGTCAATTTTAAAAACGACAACATAATACAATCTAAAATAATAAGAAAACAAAATTATTTAAAATTTTAATAAAAATTGTTTATAAATTTAATAAAAATAATATTTGATATATTAATACGAATTGTAATATAATAAAATTTTATATATATATTAATATAAAATAAATAAATATGAAAATACGACTCGTTAAATTTAAAGTGTTGTGGTGTGGATTGGCATACTCTTCCATGCATCGAGCTAAACATGTTGCTAATTTTGTGAACAATGACTTCTTCGATCTATAGTACTCGCTGTTGGATGAAAAGTAAAAACATATTTACTTGCCTTTGGTTTACATATAGTAAGATATCCGAGATTGTGAAACCTTTGTAATTCAATGTTAGAGAACAAAATGTTACTATATTTTATAATTAAAAAAAAAAGAAATTATTTCATCTTTTATTAGTGAAATTTTTAAATTTCATAAGCGAGATTAATAAAATATTATTATATGATTTGGAGATATAAAATTATAATGACAGTGAATTAAATATTAACCCTTAATAAAATATCATTTTATGATTAATAATTTAGTTAGATGTTAACAAAATATTATTATATTTTACAAATTTTTATGATTAAACAACATTAAAATTATTAAGTTTTGTAACTATTACTCCTATATGATTATTAATTTTAGCACTTGAATAAAATAATATTTGATTTTTATTAATAATAAATATATTAATTTTTAATTTTAAAAATTATTAATTATTAATCAAATAAGATGATTACTATAATAATAAGATCATCTTTATATTATAATAATGAGAAACTGACTTTGATGCATCACAAGAGCGATGAGAAATTGAAGAAAGATTTGACAATTCATCTCAAAGAGATTTCAATTTGCTGGCAATATCGGGGTTCAATTCAAAAATTATGGGAGCATTCTGCCGTTTGAAACGTTCCTCAAGATCCTTCCATATTTCATAGGCTGAACATCCATGAAGAATGCTACTAGCAATATCGGCCAAAGAAAAGATTGGAAGATGTGGCCGGCGGCGGCCAGATCTGGCAGTAGCCGATGCTCACAATCAAGAAGTAAGTTTTTTTTTTTCCCAATTTGATGATGAAAGTTTGAACAACTGATTTCAAACATTGAATATCTTAAAGGAGTCTATGACAGTGAGCAATCTGTCTTTCATCTTGCTCCACCTTCTCTCATTCGCCCCAGTTGTCAAAGTGTAGAATTTACCTGATGAGACAACACAAAACATGACATCACAATGTTATATATGCAACTGATTGATTATTTTGAGATTAAAAAATAATAATAATAATAAGAAAAATATGTTCTAGGAAAATGATGGAATGAACAAATGCATGAACAGGTGCACAAAGATTAACACCCAATTCACTCTGCTGGGTTCCAATTTATAGATCATCAGCTCGGGTATCTGACGATCTCAGGATACAAATTCCAGTAGGGTTCTAGACCACTAAGCATCGAAGACTTATCATGGTAGGAGAGGCTCTGATATCATGTTAAACTTTCAAAGTAAAATCAATTAGCAATAAACGGAGAGATTCAATTTGAACAAAAGATCATATGCAACTTAAGACTTAATAGACGTGAGATAACACCACTTAACAATGTCTATGCTTTTTTGTCTTCCTCGCTCATCATGTTTTCGGTAAAAGAAACAATAAGAACTTAACTGAAAACCTTTTTGTTGACACTATGCATAAACAACATAGAACAATTGAAAATACTAGTGCAATTAATCTCCCTGAATATTTAAAGCAATTTGCTGCACAACCGAACAAATTACTTTGAAACAGTAGGTAAAATGCTTAAGCTATTCATATATAGCATTATGAATTACTTTCATTCTGTTGCCAATTAAAACGTAAGACACCATACTGATGCAATAAAAAAAGTGTATTACCATGCACAACATATGCATATGTTAGGAATTAGTTTCATACCATTTCCAATAGAAACAGCAGTAAGAGCATGTCGAGTGTAGTTTGGAGCCAGGGTAAGAAACTCAAATGTATAATAAACTTTTCCATCTACATCATGCTGCAAGATAAATAAAAAAGACAACAAATCAGTCAATAATGTTTTGGACAAGTTTATAATACGGTCCATGACATTACCCTATACATAGTAGCTTCAGGGCCAGGTAAATGGACTGTATTTCGTCATAGAATAATCTGAAGGATTATTTTCTACTTCAGGCTATATTCAGATAACAAGACTTGACAAAATTCTTATTACATCAATGGCAGTGATCAGTTCTAATTGAACTTTTAAGTGAATTAGGAGGAGTTTCTTTTTGTTCCAAATGCTCTTTTGAAGTAGTAGAGAATGCTAAGGTGGAGAGGAAACATAGAGGTACTGGGGATCCTGAAACCATTTGGGTCAGAATGGAATTTACAATACTTCCGTCCACGAGAATATCATGCAAGGAAGTACAGAAGAAGAGCAGATCCATGAGATTGTCATATCGATTTTATGCAGTTCTGAGTGACAGCTTCACAGGAAAGCCAAAAATTATTGACTCAGCTTGGCACACTAGTGAACATAGAAGACAGCCTTAACAAGTGAAAACCCCATAATAGAACATTGCCACTTGTATGCCAACATATGACAATGATAGAGGAAATGCAACTATAAAAGGTAAAGGTAATGAAACCAAACCAGGTTGCATAGGAAAGGAACTATATATGAAAAGCAAGATTAGCCAAATATTTGCAGGGTAAGAAATCCAGCTTTGCAGCAAACAAGCAATGTTAAAAACACACCTCTGCTGCCTCGATTAGCTTTGTTTTCTGAGTTGGAGGAGCCAAAACTTTCTTGATTAGAGTTTCAGCTACCTGTGTGAAGTTATAATGAGAACCATACCCTGCTTATAAATATGATGGTAATATAATGGTAATAGAGAATTCATGGCAAACCTCTTGTGGAGAACCGAAGTCTCGAATGTCTTGTTTGTTGGTTGGTATCATATTCACGCTGACACTTTCTAATGGCTCAATAACATCTTTGAATACCTTGTCTTGACCTTCAATAACTACTTCCTGCCAACTTGCAAGGGTGACTAATCATTGTCAATTCTGGTTTCCAACAAATTAAATATAAGAAAATTACGTGCACAAGATTTAAACAAGGATTAGGGAATAAAACGCTAAAGCAGCAGCAACAATACAGTACCTGCCAGCCAAATGGATAAAGAAATGAGTACCCATCTTTCTTGTCTGTGACTGGGAGAAATCCCTTTTTAGTTTCTGCAGCAACTGAACCATATCAAAGGTGTCCTCTTAGGATATCAGAAAATATTATTCAATGAAGCAATGCATAGCATAATAGCAGATGGAATTGATTATAATGCTTAAAGAGAAGAAGGAAACAACAAGATATGGACAATGAGCTATACATATGAAAAAAAGAATGTAACTTTTTTTGGTACATAGAGGCCGCAGCCCGGGGATAGTGAAAAGTATCGCAGGTGTTGGGATTCGAATCCCAAACCTACTCGATTCCACCTCTTAAAGGTAGCTGCATTAACCAATTGGGTTAAGCCCTCGGTTCAAAAAAATGAAAATACTTACATGTAATAGAAGTTCGGTCAACAATTGAAACCAAAGGAGCAGTGATGCCAGCAGCAATCATTTGGCGTCTCCCACAACTATCTGCAAAATGAAGAATAAAAGAACTTTACAATATAGGCTACTTCCAATCTTCTTATATATCTTGCTGCTGGCTATTTAATCAAAATAATTTGATTAATGTTGGTGTGAACCAGGACAATTATTTATTGGTCAGACTCTAAAGAATCGAAAACTATTCGAACTAGTACATGAACAAATGACTAGAAAATTAGTCTGTATTCCAACAACTAAGGCATTTAAATGGTTGCACTAAGCACCAATGCCCAACATTCTAATACAGAATGACATAGTCATCACTCTGACATTCAGCATAAAATAAATTTCTCAAGAACAGAATCTTCCACAATTTCTGAATGAAATACTTTCAAAGATTGAACAGAATGCCATCAGTCCTTAGCTCAATTGACCATTCTGACAGTGGCATTTGCCAGCTGATATTAGTAAATTCTTCCATTTCTCATCACCAAAATTTTCCTAGAAAATGTCAAAATTTTCCCGATTTCTTAATCACTTGCACCTGTCAAGCTACATTCAAATGGTATATCCCCTAAATAGTTTCAGCTTCTTGCATTAACAGTGAATTATTAAACCAACAAAATTCAAAACAAACAAAACTCACCTTGAAAGTGAGAAGAGCTGGAAGAAGCAGCAGCTGATGATGACTGCTCAGCCTTTACACGAACAGAAACACCTCTTTTGCAGCAAAGAAATGCAGTATGATGATGCTTCTGCAATCCTTTCTATATAACCAAAAAAAAAAAAGCCTCACCATTCTCTTCATATCCAATTAAAAAACAAAGAAAAAAAAAGACCCAATGCAGAAAACAAACATATTAATATGTTAATGAAAAGAAACCTGAGGAAAAGCATTAAGGAACAATGTATGATGAAGAGAAGGCAGTGAATTCTGCAAAGCTGCCATTGTTTAATTTTGTGTTTCAGTTCATGAACTACTAAAAGGGAAAAACAAAAACAAAAAAAGCTGAAAAAGAGAAAACAAGAAGCAAAAAATGAGTAGAATTATTGTTTGGTGCTTTTGTGGTTAAGAGCTCATCCATGAAATTATCAGTTTATCCATTGAGACACTGTGCAAGTGGATTTGCAAGCATTTCAGACAACGTCACACGTTTAAAGGCTTTTATGTGGTAGGCTTGTCGTGGGTTTGGACCCACCTTTTTCTTAGGTTGTGTTTCTTTATTAGGGGAAGAAAATAAAGAAAATAAAATAAAGTTTAGTTTACTCGAGATTAGAGCAGTTTAAAAATCGAGTTAACCATCTAAATTTGAAGACTCCTCCAAAATTTAAAAAAATTTAAATAAAAAATTAAAATTAATTTAAAATTTTAAAATATAATTTTTAAGTACATTTAAATTTTAAGTTGAACCTAAAATAAAAAATTTAAAATTTAAATTCAATCCAACTTAAATTTATACAATATCTATGAATTTTTTATTTTATATATATATAAATTATATATAAATTAATTTACATATATATAAATTAAAAATATATATTATATTAAATTAAATTTTTATTTTTATTTTATGTATAATATATATTTTGAATTTTTATGTATGAATTAAATATAATATTTTTAAACTTAATTTATCATTTTTTATTTTTTATGATATAAATTAAATTTCATGAGTAGTTTAGAATTTATTTTTTAAATTTAAGTTGAGTTTGAAAAATTTTTAAGATTCTAAATTTTTGATCAAATCAAATTTAAATAAATATATAAATTATTAATATCAAATATGAATTTGACTCTAATTTAATCTGATCCTATTTATGAACATCTGATCTGGAGACTCTATTTGAAACAAATTTCAGTACTACAAATTATAAAATTGTCATTCACCACAAGTTTTGGAATCAAAATTTACCCTTTTTTTTTTTTTTTCCAAAAGTAATGTTTTGTTTTCATTTAGATGAATTCATTCAAGTTTGACCAACTTTGGTAATGGGTTTTGAAGTCAACCAAGCAAATTTGTTGGAATTAGTTGATCCATTTTATCTAACCACTCTTTGTATAATAATACAAATTCAATGGAGGTTATTGCTTTCTAGATTTTCCTTGTTATCATACACACCAGACGATTGTCTTTTTTTCAACGTTTGAAATCAGCACTCTCTCTCTCTCTCTCTCTCTCTCTCTCTCTCTCTCTCTCTCTCTCTCTCTCCCTTTGAATTTACGCTATGATAATGAATGTTTTGATCAAAATCTACCTTCTAAACGATTTCATTTTGATTTTTCATCCATGTTCTAATGGAATAATTCAAAGATTAGATACCTAGATGAAATTTTCCTGTGATATAATGGGTTAAAAAAAAAATTACAGATACTCCTAGATAAATTTCCTACTGTCATTTTGTAGGATTTAAATTTTCAATTTTGAGCCTATAATTAATGCAAAAAGCCACCAAACTTGAAGGTCCTATCTTTATATTTCTCTTGTTTTGAATGAACTTCAACTTCAAATCTTGTCATGAATGTTAAATTATGAGTGTAAGTAATATATTAGTGTTCATAAATTATTTAGGTTCAAAAAAATTTCAAATTTTATTTTATCATTGTTAAATTGAATTCAAGTTTGAATATCTCAATTTATCAAACGCATCAAATTCGAATATTTTAAATTTTGACTCAAGCATCTCAAAATCTAATTAGATGTTAATATTTTAATATATATTTTATTATTTTAATTAAAAATTATTATTTTACTCGTATATACATATATATATATATTAATTCGAGTTCAAATCTAAATAATCAAGCTTGAAATTAATTATGATAATCAAGCTCAATTTTTATTCAATAAATAAAATTAATCGAAAGAGTTCAAATAATTAATTTTTATCTCAAGTAAAGCTTGGATTTAAAAATTAAAATTTAATTAAATTCAAATGAATTTCGATTAATGAATTTTGAGTCAAGTTCAAATTTCTCATTATATTGTATCAATTCAATCAAATTGGATTACACACTTATGCTTAACTACTTCACCATATTTGAGTACAATAATTCAAGAAAGTCTACAACCATCTAAAAGGAAACATCTCTGTCTTGCATTTCTCAAACATGGAATTATATCTACATAATTAATGGAGACATAAAAAAAAATTATATTTCTCTGTCTTGCATTTCTCATACATGGATCTCAATGTTTTCAATAGATTATAGATTTTGACACATTCATAAATTCTGTTTAGATATATTTTACCTATGAAAAGCTTTGTGTATGTATAATTTTGATCAATCTTAATCAAAATAATTAGTTTTAAGTTCTTAAAGATACACATTGATAATTAGAAATAAAGATTTTATTATGAAAATTCAATGTTCAAATTCAAAAATGCCATATGAGGTGTAAATGAATAGATTTTTTTATAAATATTTTGTCAATATATTTATTTTATATTCATTTATTGAGTTTAATAAATGATTATAAACAACATTTTAAAAATTGTTAATTAAATAAACAGATCATGAATATAACAAAATTCGTTCATATTTGATTTATTTTATATTTAAGACTGTAAACAAAAAAACTATTTCAATAAACATTTTATGAATAGTTTTAATTTTTGTTTGTATATATTCATTTATTAAGTTTAAGAAACGATCATAAATAAAATCTTAAAATTCATTAATTAAATAAAAATAATAATAAAATTTATTCACATTCAATTTGTTTACATTCTTATTACTATATATAAAATAGGATTGAATTAGTACTTGTTTGGAAGGATGATTATTGCAACAAGTTTTCTACTTCAAAACAAGCATTTAGGATATCTTTTGTTGTATGTCTTAATTTTTTTTAATACAATGTGTTTTTAGATTTTGTTTAAATTTGATCTCTTTTTCTTAAGCAATCTTAATATTATACTTCCCCTTATTAATTGGATGCATTCGTAATGGTTTTTTTTTTTTTGAACTTATTATTAAATTTTTTTTATAATAAAAAAGAATAGATCTAAAAGATCAAAATATGTTATAAGTCTTTATATTTTTCAACTTTTAAGAATTTAATTTTTATAATATTATTTAAAGAAATTTAATTTTTATAGTATTACTTTTTAAGAATTTAATTTAATCATTAACAATACCTTAAAACTAAATTAAAAAAAATATTACGGGAACTAAATTTTTTAAAAATAATATTATAAGAATTAAAAATTTTAAATAACACTAAAAGAATTAAATTCTTTAAAATTAAAGAGTATAAAAACTTATAACACATTTTAACCTATCTAAAAAAATCAATTACAAAAACCTAATTTGGCATAACCAATTATTATTAAAATCTTTTTAAAATGAATAATGTGAGAGGAAATAAAAAAAAAAAAAAAAAGCCCAAAAAGGCAAAAAAAGTGAGAAACAAAAAGGGAAAATAAAAAGGAACAAAAAAAGCAATGGAACAGAGCAAATGGAGTGGCAGAGGGAAAAAGCTCATTCACCCTCCTCTCACAATTATGTCTGCTCCTCACAGTCTTCTCATGGTTCTAAAAAAAAATTATTTTTTTTATTTTTTTATAATTTTCTCCGATGAGCCATGCTAAACTTACCTGACATTACACAGACCCACACGTGTCACAATTAAATAAACAATTTCAAGCGAAGATCCAGCTGTTCACACATTACAACACAGATTTTTCCTCACTACTTTCCAAAAATACCCCCACAAATTAAAAAGATAGATTATATTACATTGATCGTGTTTTTTATATGATTAATTTATCCTTACACCCTTATTTCTTATATTTATAAGATTGAAGAAAATATTAAATGCATAACTTTTTTTGAATATGTAATTTTTAAACGTTTGATCCAATAATATATAATTGATTTAAAAGTTATATTGATTATTTAAAAAAAAATTTAAAATTTTTTAATAAAATACATAAAAAAATAAATTACAAATATCACATTTAAATTATAAATATGTTAAATATTATTTTTTAAAAATAATTATATATATTAATTATACAAAATTTTGAATTAAAAAATACAACTTAATTTGGTTTATTTTTTTTGATATATTTATATCATAATTTACTTTTTAGACAACAAGCTTGAATTTAAAAGACATTGAAGTTACACATTACTTTTCTTCTAAGTGACAAAATATCAATTATTAAAGATCTTTTATTGTGATATTAAATTCTTCTAACTCCTTTTGATCCCTAAAATTGATATTTTGGCTTTTAATATTTCAAAACTCTTGATTATTAAATGTTAGAATTTGTAATTTTTTAATGAAAATTGCAAATGTGAAATTCTTTTATGATACAATTTATTTATAATTTTTTTGAAAAGGTAAATTATATGAACTTATTTGTAAATTATTAATGTTTTTCACATAAATGAACAAACATCTTAAAAAAGTATTTTAAATTTTAATGCAAAATAAGCAAAATCTAAAAAAATGTATATTAGTTTAAGAGAAATTATCACCTTCATTAATAATAGAGTTTTAAAATATAATAAAAATAACAAAAAATAATTAAAATAAAGGTAAAATATGTGAAAAGCCTCTTAACTCTAATGATAAAATTAAAAAATTTCTTCTATCAAAATATAAAAATAAACTAATTAATTAATTTCATATTATACCAAAGAATGTCAAAATTTTAAAAATTTTTTATATTTGAGAAACTTGAAAAGTATGAGGGTGTAAGTGTAATTCAACGGAAAAACATTAAAAAAATGAAGAAAAAGAAAAATCGAAATCTCTTATTAAGCAAAATAAAAATTTCTCTTTCTTGCCGGCACTTGACCGTTAAACAAAAACAAAAAATGGAATCATCAAAAACCCCAATAAGAAAATCAAAAAATTTTTTTTTGTTCTTTTTGCTTCATGTAACTACGGGTGACTCCATTTTCTCTTTCTATTTCTTCCTTCTACTCCGCCTTGTTTGACCTGGTTTTCATTTTCACTACAAAAAAAAAAAACCAAATTAAATAAAAATCCCAAACCTTTAACAAATTAGAAAAAGGAAAAATCTGATTTATTAAAGAATTTTCGTCTCTGAATTTAGCAGATCCGGTTAAAATTTCTGCTAAATTTAGATAAAAGGAGAGTTAGGGTTTGGGTTTGGGTTTTCATTAAGGATGATGATATCAAGGGGTTTATTCGGATGGTCACCACCACACATACAACCGTTGACACCCGTCTCTGAGGTTTCGGAGCCGCCGGAATCGCCGTCTCCGTACTTGGATACAACAGCGGAAGCAGCTGCTGCTGCGGCGGCGGCACAGGTTGAGGCGGAGGAAGAGATGGAGGAGGCGGAAGAGATCGAGCCGCCTCCTGCCGCTGTTCCGTTCTCAGGACTCTTCGCCTGTGCTGACCGGCTTGATTGGGCTCTCATGATTGTTGGATCGCTTGCTGCTGCAGCTCATGGGACCGCTCTCGTTGTTTACTTGCATTACTTTGCGAAGATTGTTGAGGTTCTTGGACATCGTTCGGAAGCACCGGAGCCGGAGAGATTGGATGAGCAGTTTGAGAGGTTTAGAGAGGTTAGTGTTTTTTAATTAAGGAAGTAAAAACCTTAATTTTTTGGATTTTATAGGTTTAGTTTAGTGTTTTAGTTGATAATTTTGATAATTGAAGTAAAGTACTAGGTTATGATTTTTGTCATTTTTATAATAAAATATTTGGATTTTATAGTTTTTTAGGAGTTCAAAATTTTGGGAATTTAGTTAACTGATGATGTTTTAATTTTAGAGAGTTGGAAGATTTTGTTTTAGAGATGGAACCTTTGATTCTGAATTGAAGCAATTCCCTTCATTTTCTTTTTGTATGTTGGATAGTAGTTTGATTCTGGAGAGAGCTTTTTGGAAATGGCAAGGTACATAAAGTTTGGGGTTTTAGGTTTCTGGTGTTTGCAGCTGGCAAAAGCAATTTTTTTGTTTTTGGGGGGGGGGGGGGTCTTACGATTTCAGTAGCAAAAGATGAGAGTTAAGTTATAGCATTGACCTTTGCTCTGAGAGAATTTAGGTGGCAAGACAATGAAGTGAGCTGCTTTATTAGTTTTATCTTTGTGGCTTGGTCTATTTAGTTATGGAATGGTATTGTTAGGAGCTAGATTTGAGTGCCATTTCCCAATTTAACACCTTACTGAGGTCGGTAGTTTCACATCAAGCATTAGGAGTTGATGGCTGTGTTTTAGCTTTGAAGTGGATTGTCAGGAAAAGTTTGTGGTGTAAAAGAGCATGATATTTTGGAAATCTTTGTTATTTGAGATTAATGGTTATTGCATGCAAACTGAGTATATTTAAGTATTCTCTGCTTAGTCAATATTATTTTGTTTTTAATCATCACTGTGAAGATATAGAAAATTTCTATCTTCTGGGTTAACACCGTTATTCTTGGAGTTGTTAATTAGTAATATAATGTGCAAATCACTTGGGGAAAACCAAAACCATATTTTGAGGCTTGAGTTTCTGTCTAACATTATTTATCTCCTTTTTGCTTGCTATAAGCAACTATCATTTGCAGTTCCCTTGAGACATTCTATTGCTATGTATTTGAATGTATCACCAACTGCTAATTCTTGTTCTGCAGCTTTCTTTAACTATTGTTCATATTGCTGTGGCCGTTTTTGCTGCTGGCTGGATTGGTAAGTTGATTTATATCAAAGTCAGCTATTGATTTATTTCTGTTTTCTTCTGATTGATGCATCTTTCTGCCATTTGTCGCTGACTTCTTCTGTGCAATAGAGGTTTCATGCTGGATTCTGACCGGAGAGCGGCAGACTGCTGTCATCAGGTCAAGATATGTTCAAGTATTATTGAACCAAGATATGAGCTTTTTTGATACTTATGGGAATAATGGAGACATAGTGAGCCAAGTATTGAGTGATGTACTGCTCATCCAATCTGCTCTTAGTGAAAAAGTATGTTCAGTCACATGTTGCTTTACATGTGGGCTTCCCTGCTTTTTTAATATGTAATTTATTCTTTGGTGGGATTTCCTTACGGATATCTGCTCTAATCCTAATATTCCTTTAATGATACAGGTTGGGAATTACATTCATAACATGGCTACATTTTTCAGTGGTCTAATTATTGGTTTTGTCAACTGTTGGGAAATTGCCCTCATAACTCTAGCCACTGGTCCATTTATTGTTGCTGCTGGAGGCATATCCAATATATTTCTTCATAGGCTTGCTGAGAACATTCAAGATGCTTATGCTGAGGCAGCTAGTATCGCTGAACAGGTTTTTCTCTTCTCTCCTGTCTCCACCCTTTTCAACCAGAATTATTTGTGTTAATATCAATCTCAAGTGAATGTAAATTGGCTACTTGCTTAATGTTCAAATGTGACTTGTCCAAATGGTATATGTTGGTTTCAGAATGCAATTACTATTGACATTCATTATAATGAGTTTGAACTGGCTGTTAATATAAGGACCTAGGGTTACGTTCTTTGGAAATATGAGATCACTTTAGGAGTTGAGTACAAAACTAAAATTTGCTAGTTATTTCTATTAGAAACAGAAATGATGGCCAAGTTGCCTCTGCATAATATAATACTTATAGGGAGCTTTAGATGCTTATTTTTAGTGGCCTGTTGGGCCAGGCTGGAGTTGTGGGAAAAAGATCTACTGGCTTTCCGGAACTGTTTTGGAATTGAAATAATTTTAATTAACCAGGAATATCTTTTGTTTATTTGAAGTTTCTATTAAACTTGTCAATCAGCTTTTCCATAGAGGTTCTTGTTGGAAGATCCAACTTTGGGCTTTGGCTTTTATCCTTAAAAGGTCATTTGCAATTTCTATAGAATCTAAAGCTGTTTTATTAAAACTCTGTTTGAACCCAGCATCTGCTTTCTGGAGTAGAGAAGCTGCCCCAAAAACTAGGCGAAACTTGTACTATATATTTTCTTAATCATCCATGCATGGTACATATTATTCCTTTCCAGGTTCAATAGTGAAGAAATTCATGAGAATTTTATTTATGAATTCTTAAGGAACTTTCTAGAGTACAAAAGGATATATATATATATATATATATATATATAGCTAAAACATCAAATCTGGCAAATCCCATGATATCCTAGAGCTAATAACAAATCACCTAAAAATCCTCTAACTATAAATAGAAACTACCAAGTGGGAATTTGGTCAATGAACTAAATCCCTTTTATTTAGAAAACAACCAAAATACTAAATGAATGATAGCTAATCAAATTTGGTTAGGAATCGGTTTTCCACACTTCCTCTCAAGTTGGGTGGTAGATATCAATCTTACCTAACTTGGACTTCAAATTCTCGAAATTGCTACGATGAAGAGCCTTGGTGGGGACGTCGGCTGTTTGATGTTCTATTGGAGTGTAGACCAGTTTGACTGCGCCTTCTTTAATCTTCTCTTTGATGAAGTGGCGATCAGTCTCTACATATTTCATTTGATCATGATGAATAGGGTTCTTGGCAATGTTAATAGTTGCTTTATTATCACAAAACAGTTTCATGGAATTCCTAGTTGACTTCTTCAGTTCCTGTAGCATTCTCTCAAGCCAAATTCCTTCACAAATCCTGTGAGACATAGCCCTAAATTCAGCTTTAGCACTACTTCGAGCTTCCACTGCTTGTTTCTTGCTCCTCCAGGTGACCAAGTTGCCCCACTCATATGTACAATACCCTGTAGTTGAACTTTGGTCTGCACAGAACCAGCCCAATCTGCCTCTGAGAAAATCTCCACATCTCTATTTAGTGTTTTTGTGAAGTGCAGCCCTTTGCCCGAATTTTTTTTCAAGTATTGAAGGATCCGGTATATTGCATCCATGTGTGTCTTTGTAGGATTGTTCATAAGTCTACTCACCATACTTACAAATAAGCCAATGTCATGTCTAGTGTGCGCCAAATAAATTAATTTTCCACAAGTCTCTGGTATCTGTTTTGGTCTGCAAGAGGACTTCCATCTCCGGTTCCCATCTTGACATTTAGGTCCATTGGAGTATCCTTTGGTTTACATCCGAGCATCCATGTCTATTTGAGAAGATCAAGTACATATTTTTGTTGTGAAATAGGAATACCATTTCTTGATCGAGCTACATCCATGCCAAGAAAATATCGAAGCTATCCCAAGTCCTTTATTTCAAACTCTTTAGCTAGAAGAGTCTTTAATCCAACTATTTCCTCTTCATAATCTCCTGTGAGGACAATTTCGTCAACATAAACAATCATAATAGCAATCTTTGTTATTTGGTGAATGTTTGACAAACATAGTGTGGTCGGACTGGCATTGTAAGAACCCATTCTTTTTAACAGCCTTGGTCAAACGATCAAACCAAGTGCAAGGGGATTTTTTAAGGCCATATAAGGATTTTTGAAGATTACACACCTTGCCGATGTTGTCCTGGTTGGCAAACCCTGGAAGAATCTTCATGTAGACCTCTTTTACTAGATAACCATTCAAAAATGCATTTTTGATATCAAGTTGGTGAAGAGGCCAATCTAGGTTTGCAGCAAGTGATGGTAACACACAGACAGAATTGAGTTTTGCTATAGGAGCAAACATCTCCTCATAATCAATCCCATAAGACTAAGTGAACCCCTTAGTCACAAGATGAGCTTTGAATCTGTTCACACTTCCGTCTGTATTGTGTTTGATAGTAAAAATCCACTTACATCCCACTAGGCTCATTCATCTAGGAAGATCAATAATGTTCCATTTGTCATTCGTTTCTAGTGCTTGCATTTCTTCCATTATCGCAGCCTTCCACTTTGGTTGTTCGAACGCTTCTTGGATGGTATTCGGTATATGAACATCAGTTAATGATGTAACCAGTGCTCGGTAAGTAGGAAACAACCCTTCATAGGAAACAAAGTTACTAACAGGGTGCTGAGTACATGATCTGACACCTTTTATTATAGCAATGGGTTGATGAAGATCACTAGAAAAATCATCAGAGATAGGTTCTGTAATTGTGTTACCTGTATGAATTTCAAAAGTCCTTGGATTTGGTTTAGAATCTTGGTTCTGTGTTGGAGATGTATAGGTCCCTATCCCCTTTTAAGATTTCAGTCTCCTTAAGCATACAATCATTTCTTTAGCTTTTGTCTCTTACGCGGTTTCAGGAGATTTTAGAGACTCAGGATGACTAGTTGACTCGGAAGAAGAAGAAGAATTATTTGAAATGGGAATTTGAATTGGTAGAGAAGTAGAGGAAGGATCATATGATGGCTTAATCTCCCAAAGTTGATATTCCTTAGAACTCTCCCCCTGAATATTGGCTTTGGGATAGAATGGCTGATTCTCAAAGAAGGTGACATCCATAGAAGTGTAAAACTTTCTGGTAGTTGGTGAATAACATCTGTAGCCTTTTTTTTTAGGTGAGTAGCCAAGAAATATACACTTTAGTTATCTGGGGTCTAGTTTACTGCATTGTTGTTGGTGTATATAAACAAAGGTAATACATCCGAACACTTTGACTGGTATGGAGGAAATGATTTGGACATGAGGGTAGGTTTTGAGAAGTGTTTGACAAGGGGTTTGGAATTTTAGTACTTGAGAAGACATCCTAATGATAAGAAAGGCTGTTGTCAGGATTGCCTCTCCCCAGAAATGTTTCGGGACATGAGAGGCTTGCATAATAGATCTTGCAACTTCCATCAGGTGTCTGTTTTTCTGCTTGGCAACTCCGTTTTGTTAAGGAGTTTCAGTACATGAGCTCTGATACCATGAAGAAATTCATGAGAATTTTATTTATGAATTCTTAAGAAACTTTCTAGAGTACAAGAGGATATATATAGATAAAACATCAAATCTGGCAAATCCCATGATATCCTGGAGATAATAACAAATCACCTAAAAATCCTCTAACAATAAATGGAGACTACCAAGTAGGAATTTGGTCAATTAACCAAATCCCTTTTATTTAGGAAACAACCAAAATACTAAATGAATGACAGCTAATCAACTCTGGTAAGGAATCGATTTTCCACAAATAGTGTAGAATTTGTTGAAATGGTGATGCGAATTCTTAGTTGAACTGCACTTTCTACATGTTGTCAGCCTTCTGTATGGGGAAACACAGTGTGGAAGTGATGCTAATATACATATAGTTCTCATTTTTTGCAGGCAGTCTCTTACATTAGGACCTTGTATGCATTTACAAATGAAACTTTGGCCAAATATTCTTATGCGACCTCATTACAAGCAACTTTGAGATATGGTATATTGATTAGTCTTGTGCAAGGGCTTGGGCTTGGATTTACATATGGGCTTGCAATATGTTCTTGTGCCTTACAACTTTGGGTTGGAAGGTTCCTGGTCACAAATGGCAAAGCTCATGGTGGTGAAATCATAACAGCACTTTTTGCAGTAATTTTAAGTGGCCTGTAAGCATCACTTTCTCCCTTTTTTACCTGCTCCATCTAATCTCTCCTGTCTTACCAATCCTTTCTTTATTGTGCAGTGGGCTGAACCAAGCAGCAACAAATTTCTATTCCTTTGACCAAGGACGAATTGCTGCTTATAGACTTTTTGAGATGATTAGCCGGTCATCCTCTGGTTCTAGTCAGGAGGGGAACATCATACCCTCCGTTCAAGGAAATATTGAGTTCAGGAATGTATATTTTAGTTATCTATCTCGACCTGAAATCCCTATATTGAGTGGATTTTACCTCACTGTACCTGCTAAAAAGGCTGTGGCACTTGTTGGCAGAAACGGCTCTGGGAAAAGCAGTATTATCCCACTCATGGAACGGTTTTATGATCCTACATTAGGTATTATTGTCATATGACTTTATATATCACACTGCACTGGCATGCCATTTAAGGTTTTGAAATCATAGTTTGGTGGTCAGTCAACCTTCATGATTTAAACAGTTTTCATTTTTTGTGATGCAGGGGAAGTTCTTCTAGATGGAGAGAATATTAAAAATCTAAAGCTGGAGTGGCTGAGAAGCCAAATAGGACTTGTTACTCAGGAACCTGCCTTACTTAGTTTGAGCGTAAAAGATAATATTGCTTATGGGCGAGATGCTACATTTGATCAAATTGAAGAAGCTGCAAAAATAGCACATGCACATACATTTATTAGCTCGCTTGAGAGAGGATATGAGACACAGGTGAAATATGGAAAAATGAGATATATTAGTTTTGCCTATCTGACTGATGATCATGTTGATTATTTCTCATTTGTAGCATATTTTGTTGAAATCATTTACTGTGAATTTCAGGTGGGGAGGGCTGGCTTAGCATTGACAGAAGAACAGAAAATCAAACTTTCTATTGCTAGAGCAGTGCTGTTGAACCCAACAATCCTTCTTCTTGATGAGGTTACTGGTGGACTTGATTTTGAAGCTGAAAGAATTGTTCAGGAAGCTCTAGATCTCCTCATGTTGGGACGTTCAACTATAATAATAGCTCGACGGCTTAGTCTCATAAGAAATGCTGATTATATAGCTGTGATGGAGGAGGGTCAGCTGGTTGAAATGGGTACACATGATGAATTACTAGCCCTTGATGGGTTGTATGCGGAGCTCCTCAGATGTGAAGAGGCCACAAAACTTCCAAAGAGGTAATTATAGCTATAGATGTTTTTACTAAAGAAGGCTGGGATACCATGTATGAAAACCTATTTCTTAATGATTTTCTTCCTTTAGATTGAAAAAAATGCTCCTTTGTTCTATATTCTAAATTCTGGTTTATGGTTGTTTATTATTTTTTTTTCAGGATGCCAGTTAGGAACCACAATGAGGTGTCAGCTTTCCAAATTGAAAAGGATTCTTCATCGGTTCACAGCTTCCAAGAATCATCATCTCCAAAGTTTATCAAATCACCATCTCTCCAAAGAGTTCCTGGTGTATTTCGGCCCCAAGATGGCGCTTTTAACTTACAAGAATCACCAAAAGCTTATAGTCCACCACCAGAGAAAATGCTGGAAAATGGCTTGCCTGTGGATGCTGGTGATAAGGAACCATCAATTAGGAGGCAGGATAGTTTCGAAATGAGACTACCTGAGTTGCCCAAACTTGATGTTCAGTCTACCCAGCGGCAGAAATCAAACGGTTCAGATCCAGAATCTCCTGTGTCACCACTTCTGACTTCTGATCCTAAAAATGAGCGTTCCCACTCTCAAACTTTTAGTCGGCCTCACAGTCACTCCGATGACATCCCAGTGAAAGTTAAGGAAGCAAAGGATGCGCATCATAGTGAAGCTCCATCTTTTTGGAGGTTGGCACAGCTTAGTTTTGCGGAGTGGCTCTATGCTGTGTTGGGAAGCATTGGTGCAGCAATCTTTGGCTCTTTCAATCCACTTCTTGCTTATGTTATTGCTCTGATAGTAACAGCATATTATAGGCCTGGGGAACATCATCACATACGAGATGAAGTAGACAGGTGGTGTTTGATAATTGCCTGTATGGGTATAATAACTGTTGTTGCCAACTTTTTGCAACACTTCTACTTTGGCATTATGGGGGAAAAGATGACTGAACGGGTTCGTAGAATGATGTTCTCAGGTATCTGAATCTTCAAATTACTATTGGAAATTTACTGGAATGCTGAATTCCATGCATATTGTTTACTTTGTTTTGCCCATCATGTCACAGCAATGTTGCGCAATGAAGTTGGATGGTTTGATGAAGAAGATAACAGTGCTGACACCTTGTCCATGCGATTGGCAAATGATGCTACATTTGTACGAGCTGCTTTTAGCAACCGACTTTCAATATTTATACAGGACAGTGCTGCTGTTATTGTTGCTATAGTAATTGGGATGTTGCTACATTGGCGGTTGGCACTTGTGGCATTTGCAACCCTGCCAGTTCTAACTGTCTCTGCTATTGCTCAGGTTTGCATATCCCTACTTTTTATTATTTATATTTGGTTTCACTTCATTATTGAAAAAACATGGAGTTTCTGGAGAGTTGTGTTTCTTAGTTAATTATTCTCAATTCCATGTATTGTCTTTGCTTCTTTTGCTCCTCTATAACTTTGCCCTTTCCTTTCTTACTGAATTTGGATGGAAGATTGTCCTCGTCCAAATTTCTGAATAGCTGCCTACTTAAATGTTGCAGAAACTATGGCTTGCTGGATTTTCCAAGGGAATCCAGGAGATGCATAGGAAGGCATCATTGGTCCTTGAGGATGCAGTGAGAAACATTTACACTGTTGTAGCATTTTGTGCTGGTAATAAGGTAATGGAGCTCTATGGACTGCAGCTGAAGAAAATATTGAAACAGAGTTTCTTTCATGGAATGGCAATAGGGTTTGCATTTGGCTTTTCACAGTTTCTTCTTTTTGCCTGCAATGCTCTTCTCCTTTGGTACACCGCACTCTCTGTTAAAAGAGGCTATATGGATCTGCCTACAGCTCTCAAGGAGTACATCGTTTTCTCTTTTGCAACTTTTGCACTGGTGGAGCCATTTGGACTGGCACCATACATACTGAAGAGGCGGGAATCTCTCACTTCAGTGTTTGAAATTATTGATCGAGTCCCTAAAATTGAGCCAGATGATAACTCAGCATTGAAGCCACCTAATGTCTATGGAAGCATTGAGTTGAAAAATGTTGATTTTTGTTATCCTACACGTCCAGAAATGTTGGTATTGAGCAATTTCAGTCTTAAAGTTAATGGGGGACAAACTGTTGCTGTTGTTGGAGTTTCAGGATCTGGGAAGAGTACCATAATATCTCTGATAGAGAGATTCTATGATCCTGTTGCAGGTCAGATTCTACTTGATGGGCGGGATTTGAAACTCTACAATTTGAGGTGGTTGAGGAACCACTTAGGTCTTGTTCAACAGGAACCCATTATTTTCTCAACTACTATCAGGGAAAACATTATATATGCAAGGCACAATGCTAGTGAAGCTGAGATGAAAGAGGCTGCAAGAATAGCTAATGCTCACCAATTTATCAGCAGCTTGCCTCACGGTTATGACACACACGTGGGTATGAGGGGTGTGGATTTGACCCCAGGACAGAAACAAAGAATTGCTATTTCTCGAGTGGTGCTGAAGAATGCTCCTATCTTGTTATTAGATGAAGCTAGCTCGTCCATTGAATCTGAGTCAAGCCGAGTGGTGCATGAGGCACTTGACACTCTTATAATGGGGAACAAAACTACCATTTTGATAGCCCATAGAGCTGCAATGATGAGGCATGTTGACAACATTGTAGTACTTAATGGTGGTCGAATTGTGGAGGAAGGGACACATGATTCTTTGGTAGCAAAAAATGGCTTGTATGTTCGTTTAATGCAACCTCATTTTGGCAAGGGTCTGCGTCAGCATCGGCTGGTTTAGGTTGGCTTGCGATTGATGGTTACTTACATTGGTTCTTCTGTACAGTACTCGTTTCGCTTATTTGAATTGCTGGAACTACCACGACATGCAGACTTCACAGAATCGCTTGGTTGAAAAATCCAGAATCAGAAAGGACAAATGGAGATGATGCAGCTTGTAATGATGTTCTCTATGGATTAGTGAACCAAAGAGCATGTGAGACCGATCGAGGGTTATAACAATGTTTATTCCGGCGAGTAGGCACAGCGGCGGCTGTAGTTACATTGTTTAAAGGTAGGGCTTAGAATTTAGGGGTTTGGGAGTTTGGGTGGCTGTTGAGGGATAGATCCATATTCTTTACAGACAGGCAGCATTAGATTGGGACTGTGCTTTGTCTCCATGGTATATTAATTTTGTTTGTTGATCAGAAAAGGGTTGAGAATTTTAGTCCTATTGAGGTGTGTTTCTGGGATTTTCCTGTTTCAGGTTTTGCCCCCTGATTTCTATGAATTTCTGCAACTCCTCTCTCACCAAAGCTTGAATGATGTATGTGTTTGGCTGTAAAATTTTCAACTTTTGATTACTGAGAAAGTTTAGAAGAGGAAAAAAAAGTGTTGTAATCTCTGTAAATAAGTAGGCGGATAATTTACAAATTTTTTTTGCTTTGCCATTATTTCTGCTACTTAAGTAATGTTCAGGTACTAGTCTTTAATATTTTATATTGCAGCATAGAGATAAAAGAGAATAGATTATAAGTGTTGAAATTTAAATTTTAAATTTATTGAATCTTTTAAAAATGGTTGCATGAATTAATTATGCCTATAAAAAATTCTATTTGTTTAACACTTAAGGACGCCTCATTCACAAAATTCAAGAAATGAATGGTAGCAATACAGGAAGAAGAAAAGTGATAATTCAGGTTGGACCTGTTTTTGATGCTCAACTAAGCGAGGATCTTTGTTGTTTCTGGCTATATTTACAACGAAAAGGGTTGATTTTAACAGGTTTGAGGGTTGCCCTGCTCTGTATAACTGCATTTCAGATGTCAAGCACCTTGAAGGAGTCGGCCACCACTTTCAGCTTGTCGCGGACCCTTCTCCACCGTCTTTCAAGTGCTCCAACAACCAGTGTGTAATATCTCCCTGCAAAGAAATGCAAGTCAACAGCTTAAAGAACATGAGAAAATCTTTCTCCTTACAGTTCACATCTTCAACATCTAAGTAAAGATGTGCTCTGGATCAAATGAAGGAACCTTGTCAACTGATTTTGTCTATATCTACGGCTAAGCCGTTGTTCAAGGATTGGCATTCCAACAAGAAGCCATCAAACATTTAATAATAAGATTTTCCTCCTTGCCTCGCTCTTGTCTTCATTCTCAAACACTAGGGAGAGAGGCCGAATGGGGCAATTGGTATATCTATATTTGTTTATTCGGATTTAACAGGTATAAAATATAAAAATTATTGCATTATAATTTGTGTGAACACATTAAATATAAAATACTTGTTTTTGTCAAATACATATATAATTTTTGCTAAAATTTTACTTTTTTTTTTTTCGTATCTTAATTTAAATTACCAAATCTACTTCCATCTCAGGTAAACCAACTACAGATAAGGGTGGTTATCAGTAAATTAATAAGAAAGGAAAAAGCATGAATTTTGAGATGATAGATACTTTACCATTTCCAATGGCTAGTGTTGCGAAGGAAGCACTAGCATAGTTAGAAGAAGTGAGTTCGTATTCAAAGGTGTAATAGTTTTTCCCATCAGTTGTTCTCTGCATTTAGAAGATGGCCATGAAAGCAATTGACCGACTATCAATTGAAAAAAGCTAGACTATATTGTTTAAGAAATTATCAAAATACAGTAATTGTAGAGTTTTTTAATTTTATAAGCGAAATTAATATAATAAATACTTTATTAAAAAATTAATTAAAAAAAAGCAGATATTTATCTGTTTTTTAATTCCGTTCGCAGAATTAAAGAACTTCGCATAAAATAATTTCTCATATTTTTTCTGATTAATAAAACTGAAAGCAAGTTGCATTATTTTGGACAAACCTCTTTCATGTCAAGTATATTGGCCATTTGATTTGGTGCGGCATAAACATGATTTACCAAATTGTAAACAACCTGCAAACAAAGAAAAACTTATGAAACTCCATTTCTTTCTTCACAAAAAACTCACGGAAAGAAAGCAAAAGAGTTTCCATTCTTCACCTCTTCTATTGGCCCCAAATCATGGATGTCTTTTTTCTCAGTTGGTAGGAATCTCACCCTTACATTTTGCAGTTGAAGAAATCTGTCCTTGAATGCAGAATCATGTCCCCTAAACTCAAATTCCTAACAAAAAGCAACAACAGAAATCATACCGGGGATTTGCAGCCAAAACTAAAGGCTTCAACTTGTTAGTAATTTGAAACAAATTACCCTCCAATCTGATGGGTAGAAATAAGAATACCCATCAGGAATGTCAACAAATGCCTTATAGTTTTGTGGTATCTCTGTCCAACGACCAAAACAAGAAAAGCTGAACATTAAATTCCACTTCACAAGGCAGACATTAATATAATTTTACATAAATTAAGCAAGGTCATAAAATACCTTCAGCAAGAAGGGAAGTTGCAGGGAGTAAACCTGCTGTGACAGTTCCAACTCCTAACAGCAGCAGTCTTCTCTTGCAAGTGTCTGATATTCAGTCAAAAGTAAGAACATGACACAAAAACATCGAGTTTTTGCTTGCATGAATACATAATACTCATTTTCTCTTAGAATTCAATGGAAGTTGGAGTTTGTCATGAAATACATCAGATGGGATCATCTTACTTTCTTCATTGGAAGTGGTCTCTTTGGGGCATGTGACAGAGTTACGCAAAGAAAATGTAGCTGCTCGAGCTAGCTCATTGGACTGTGGCCATGGCAAATTTGACTGGAAAGTAGAAACAGTAATAGAACAACTGAATTAGCTCTGACTCTAAGAGAAATGAAACATAGTAAGCAAGCAATAAGCAGAAAGCGAAGCCAGCTAACAGCTGATGAGAGATTAACCTTCTTTGTAAAGGTAGCTGGTGGAACCCAGTTCAATGAAACTGAAGACGTTGCCATGTTTTGAGTTTTGATCACCATGTGAAGCAGCAGCAGCCTCTCATAAAACTACTGGATATATTTGGTTCCTATTGGATGGAGAGTGTGAAGCATGAATGAACGAATCATGGCCTATGAGGATCCACTGTAACTAGCCATCTACTCAAGCCTTATTTATTTGGGCCTATAGATAGTACTATAAATCATGGATTTACAGCTAAGAGGTTGAGCCAGCCTTTGTCCACAAAGCAAGAATCTATTCTGGAACGTAAGTGCTTCTAGCTTGTGGCCCAAATTTCTTATTCTTTTCTTTGTAAAGCTAGTGGCCCAAATTTAAAATGTGCACAATTCCAACTGTGATTTAAGATTTAATTATTATTTTACATGCTATTAGTAAAATTTTTAAACTTCACAAATTATTAATGTTTTAATTTCATTGATAGGGTTTAAAACTTTCATCAAAATGAGTAACAATTTTATGAAGAATTCTTTGATTTCAAATTCATATCTTTTTCAACTACTAGTCAAATAGAAACCGAGACAAAAAAAAAAAAAAGAGAGGGGTTATTGATCTAAAAAGAAGAGCTAACCATGAATATTTTGTCATTGCTTTAGACCTTTTTCTCAAATTGTGTATATCAAGCTTTCTTATATACTTTATTTTTGCTTTATGCTCTGCATTCTCTAACCTTTATGTTTAATCTCTTATTACATGTAACTTCCAAGTGTCAAATTTACAGTCAAATCTCCAGCTGTTTAATTTATTTTTATATATTTTTTCCCATTGATTATCACAATATTTTAAGGTTAAATTCTATATATTTTCTAGTTTTCTGTGTTAATTTGAGATCCACCACCTACCCTTCACTTGTTAGCTTCATGGGATTTACATTTCATTCTCAATCTTACCTGTCAATATTTTGTCTGCTTAACTGTATCGAAATCAAACTATTACATCTTGATTCTTTTCAAAGCTCAAAGGGCTTAAAGTTCATGAGCATGCTGCTGTATTGGTAATATAAAATGGAAATGTTGTTCATTCTCCTAGGTTCTAATGCTATTACTAGGAGAAGATCTAGGTGCTAGAAATCTTTCAATTTTTTTAATGACAACAGCATAATTTGCGGTCCAATCTCCAGTGATAACTTCCGAGCAAGTGAATCAATGTATTCATTAAGAAAAAAATGAAAATTTTTAAATCTAAGGCAAGTTGATGGAAAATGGTTTTGGATCAAGAATGTGAACATGTGCAAAAGCATTGCTTATACATCTCAAAATCGAAAAATTTAAGCTTAAGTAATGAAGGATTTAGGTTTCTAAGCTCTGAAGAATTTCTGGTAAAAAAGGGTAGTTGGTCAACCCATCATCTCTGGTCGTTGCTTTAGTCAGGGTCCCCCAATGGCCTGCAAATTTTTTAATACCAGACCCTCATGTTCCTCACCTTAAATGCCGCAAAATATTAAAAGAAAGAAGAAAATCTCATAAAGTTTCAGTTAAGTCGGTTTCCCCATAGTTCCCAAACCTTTTCCCTTTTTTTTATTTATTTTCATTTTTTAATATTTAATGCTATCTGTGAGGTATTTACACAATGTCAGAGCCCATGTTTTGGAAATAGTAGAATTAACCACCATCATAACTCTCATCCCCCACACCCCAAACTCACCTCTATCTTCTCTTTCCAGGTATGCTACAACTCCAACTATATTCTCATTAAGACATGAAAGATAAGTGGCAGAATCAGAATTACAATTGGTATGTCATGTTACATTGTCTAGTTCAACTTTTCTAGACTTTTAAAGTCAATGGAAAGTGAAGAAATGAAAGTATCATTTAAGTTATTGTTAATCTTTTTTCCATTTGTTTTTTTTGTTCACCCTATAATCTGTTCTACTTATAGTCCTGTTGATGTTTTCTTGATTAATTGTGGGGGAAGTAACCCAATAGAAGTTGATGATTCTCGGGTTTTTCAGCCTGATAGTAGTATTCCTCATGTGAAAATGTCCCCTTCTTCAGAAATTGTTGTTTCTGATGATGAAATGAGCAGTTCGGGTAACTCAGCTCTGTACAATTTTGCTAGAGTTTTTGAAAAAACTTCAGCATATGCTATTAGAACTAAGCAGATTGGCCGCCATTGGCTAAGGCTACATTTTTTCCCAGTTCAAGATACAAAGTATGATTTGAAGTCTGCAGTTTTTTCAGTTACAGCCAATGGAATCACACTGCTTCACCAGTTTTCTTTTTTGAAAATGGGCCAAAACTCTCCTCTAGTGAAGGAATATGCGATTGAGATAGGAAGTTCGAGTTCAAAAAAATTGGAACTGACATTTTCTCCCAGAAATGGCTCGCTTGCATTTATCAATGGGATTGAGGTTGTGGCTGTACCCAACAAGAATTTCCCTTCCAGTCTTGTGCCAATTCCATTAGGACCTGAAGTTGAGATCTCGAAACATGTAGCTTTCGAGACAGCTTACAGGATAAACATGGGGGGTCCTCTTTTAACTCCCAAGAATGATTCAATGTGGAGGATATGGGAGCCAGATCAACCATATTTAGTAAATGCTGCTTCTGCCCGAAATGTTATGGTCAATCCTAATTTGATCATGTACCCTGATGGAATATCAGCGGAAATTGCTCCGAATTGGGTTTATGCCACTGCTCAAGAAATGGCTGAAGCAAATGTTACCGATCAGAAGTTTAACATTTCATGGACATTTGAAGTTGAAGAAGGTTTTACTTATCTTATTAGGTTGCATTTTTGTGACATTGTTAGTGTAGCTCTTAACAGCTTAGTTTTCAATGTCTACATCAACAAGCAATCTGCTTTGACCTCTTTTGATATTTCCAGTAGGACAAAGGCATTATCAGCTGCTTACTACGTAGATTTCCTGGTGAATGTTTCGATGGGATCAACTCAGATTTTGATTCAAATAGGTCCTCCTGATTTAAGAAATCTTCCAAGCAATGCAATTTTGAATGGTTTAGAGATCTTGAAAATGAGCAATCCTTGTGATAGCCTTGATGGAAATGTTTGTGAAATTAATAAGAACTCAAAGATCCCAAGCAGAAAATTGATTGTCCTAGCAATCTGTTCAGCAGCAGTTTTCACAGTTGTAACGGTCATTTTAGCAATTTTTTTCCTGCACTTGCGTCAGCCAAAGAAGCCAAAACGTTGCTCCTCAACCTGGTTTCCATTGCCGAAAAATGTGGGAAATTCAGATTCCAAAGTTTCAATTTGCAGTCTTGCTTCAACAGCACAATCTCATGGTTTAGGCCGCATTCTATCTTTCTCAGAGATTCGTGAAGCAACCAAGAACTTTGATGAGAGTTTGGTCATTGGTGTAGGTGGATTTGGAAAGGTTTATAAAGGTATGCTAGAGAATGGGTTCATGGTTGCAGTAAAGCGCGGAAATCCAGGATCCCGGCAAGGACTAACTGAGTTCAGGACAGAAATTCTGATGCTCTCCAAGTTGAGGCATCGGCACCTGGTTTCTCTCATAGGTTACTGTGAAGAACAAAATGAGATGATCCTCGTTTATGAGTTCATGGCAGGTGGTCCTTTGCGGAGGCACTTGTATGGCTCCAATCTTCCCCCACTTAGCTGGAAACAAAGACTGGAAATCTGTATTGGAGCTGCAAAAGGCCTACACTACCTCCACACAGGAGCAGCAGAAACTATCATCCACCGCGATGTGAAAACAACCAACATACTTCTTGATGAGAATTTCACAGCAAAAGTTGCAGATTTTGGGTTGTCAAAGCTAGGTCCCACTGTGGATCAAACTCATGTCAGCACTGCCGTGAAAGGAAGCTTTGGTTATCTTGATCCTGAGTACTTTCGTCGACAGCAACTCACAGAGAAATCTGATGTGTATTCTTTTGGAGTAGTTCTCATGGAAATTTTATGTGCTCGGCCTGCTATAAACCCTGCTCTTCCTAGGGAACAGGTTAATATAGCAGAATGGGCTATGCATTGGCAAAAGAAAGGCCTGTTAGAAAGGATTATAGATCCTCATCTTGTAGGATTTATCAATCTTGAATCCCTGAGAAAATTCAGTGAAACAGCTGAGAAATGCCTGGCAGAACATGGAGCTGAGAGACCTACAATGGGAGACGTGTTATGGAATTTGGAGTATGGTCTTGAACTACAAGAGGCTTCCATACAACATACTGCTTCATCTGAGAATAGTGCAAACCATATTCCAGATATTCCTGGATGGATCCCCCAAGTTGAATCTATCAATGCTAATCATTTTGATTGTATCAGTGATCAAGCTACTGATACAACAACTACCACAAGTGACGTGTTCTCAGAGCTTATGGATCCAAAAGGCAGATAGTCTTGTTGTTGCCTACATTCTAGGATTCAAATTTTGATAATCTCGATTTGGATCTGAATTAATAAAATTTTTCTTGATTTATAATGTTTGTTCATTTGTTTCTGTAGTTTATTCTATGGAGTGAAGTTATTGCAAAATATGAGATTCAGCCCTGGTCAATTATCATTGTACTACCATGAAACTGGAGAGGAAAACATCATCTTTTTCTACAGTGTTCCCTATCAGAGAAGCAGCCCAATAATTGAAATCCCACTCAAACCAAAATATTGGGATTCACCTGTAGTTTTCATTTGAGCTATGTTAATGTTGTAACTGCTTATGAACAACAAAATTAGAGAAGAGAGAAGAATGTAGGCAACAACAAGACTTACTAAAATTAAAAGTTCAATATTTTATTAATCGATCATGCAATAGTTAGTAATTCAAATCCGATTTCAAAGTCCATGTAGCCCACATATTAATTTTGGCCAACAAATTGTTTTCCAATCTATATAATTTGGTTTCATGACTCTAGAAAAAAAAAAAAAAAGACTCGAGCATATTACGAATGTTAAGTAATTGAAAAGAGCCAAACCCGAAATAATTTACGACAACAAAATCTCGTCTCCTATATAAGCTGATATAACCTTTCCTAGAATTTTCTCACAAGGTAACCCAACAAGAAATCTGAATCTCCAATTAATTCTAACTAAAGGACAATGATCACGGGATGCTCAGTCAAGAAAATACAATTATTAAGGGGGACAAGTTCAATTTTATTACAAATGATGTAAGTTGATTGTAAGAGAAGCTCCTTATATGGGAAATGGTCGGTCCAATATTTTAGTTTGGATGATTTTTGTTCTATTCAATATATATATATATATATATATATATAATGTTAGAAATAATAACTCAAATCTTATAAGAAATTTGTTTTGAATTAGTTAAATATTACTGATGGACAAAAAGACTTGTAGAAGAAGAATTTTAAAAAGAAGATTTTTAATAAATAAGTTTAATTTACAGAAAAAGAATTCTAAAAAAAAAAAGATTTTTAATAAACAAGTTTGTATGATTATAAATAGGTAAAATCTCTATAAAATTATGTATAAGAAAAAGATATAAGAGAGTTATAAGATTTTATAGAACAGACACCCCATAAGATTACATGAGATTTATCTCTTATGGGTGTATATGTTTGTATGGTGCATGAGAGTGGACTAAAGAAGAGTAAGATGGTTCACATAAGTATGATAAATAGGTACATATGTGTATATGATTGTTTGTGTTAAAAAAGGTACACATGAGATGCGTTTGTTTGGATTGAGAATATTTTATAAGATTAAAGAAGATTAAGAGGGTCTATGGGTATTAGTTATGAATGTTTGATTTTATTTTATATTTATTTATAATTTTTTACAACTAATAGATCTTGTTTCTTATTTGTTGACGTAGGTCGGTTGAATTGAACTATATTAAATTATTGTCTCTTGTGTGTTTGATTGATTGTTTGATTATATTTTCACTGACTTAATTGAATTTGAGCTTTTTAACATAATATATATATATATATAATTATTAAGATTATTAAGAAATTAAATTTTAATATTTTATTAATAGCTTACGTGCCTATGGGCAAAAATATATAAAAGTATGAAAGTTATGATTTTTAGACAAATTAGGATAGATCATGAATTGTAAGTAAACAATAATATCATTATTTAATTCTTCAAACCATTGTGATAAAATAAAGATTTATAAACGAATATTATTATTATTATTTTAATAAAATATTAAAAAAATTAAAAATTGCAATCACAATCAAATAATTAGTATAATGAATAAAATAAAATGGATGAATAAATCAGATCGGCTACTAAATTTCAAATTGAATTTTTTAAAGTGAATTTTCTTCCATTTTTATTTTACTTTTTTTTTTTCCTAAATGTTTGGGGCTTGTCTATATATTCTCATGTTTTAATTTTGAAAAGCACCATATTTCATATCTTTTCTTTTTCCAATTGCTACTAATTTTATATCTTTCAATGCTTTTTATTTGTAATACTGAGAAAAGGTTGTGGACCAAATGATTAAACATTGGTTGTCATAATATTTGGTTTCTTTGAATAATTAATGCCATACCTACTCCCACCTCATGCTAGACCTAATCCCCCCAAAGATTAATTCATGCTTAAGGATAATGTTTTTTTAAGACTCCATCTAATTTGATTAATTTATGCTTAAGGATAATGTTTTTTTTTAGACTTCACCTAATTTGACTTATCAAGTTTGTGCATTAAAACTTGGATTAAAATAACAATTAGAAGCTTACTAATTTAAATGCATTTCATTGGTATATGTTTTTCCTAAATTTAATAATATCACATTTTAACATATCCATTAAGTCCTATGGTGAAGTCATCATATAACTAGTCAATAATTTTGCTTTCATCATAAATATAGCTTTAATTGCTCCTCCACAATTTTTTTTTATAATAAAAGTAAAAATTTAAGATAAAAAATATTATAGGTGTTAAATTTATGCTTTAAATTTATTAAATGATACTTTTTAAAAATAATTATATAAATCAACTACCCTTCACATTACATTTATGATCTATCAAGAAAGTCTAGAAAGATCTAAGTTTGATAGCAATCAAAGTAAGCGAAAAAAAAAAAAAAAAAGGTTGGTGTGTGTTATTGCATCCTTTACACCAATAATAATTCATCATCTTACCTTTTTCCTCTTATCACGGATTGGATTATTAGCAAAGTTCTAGGACAAACAATACTATTCATATTTTATTAGAATTCAACACTTTCAATTATGAGTGCAATTACGTACATACATACACACACAATAAAATAATAATATGTGTATATATATATATATATTGTTTAAATGATAGTACTTTAGTAAATTATTGTTCAATTTTAATATTTTTTAATGGATGATCAATTTTAATCTTATTAGTAACATAATTCTATACATATGCATCCATATGTGTCATGTATGATTTTAGTTTTTTTTTTTTCCAATTCTATCACATACCATATTCAAAGTGGAAAAAAAAAATAAAACAATAAACATTGGTAAGAGAATAATTTGAAATTCGAGTTTTTAATACTATAATTCATAAATTCAAATGATCACCATCATCAAGTAACAATAGTGAGTCAATGAAAATAAAATATTATCCCAATAAGAAAATTTTTTTGAAAAAAAGTTATTTTGTATTTTCTATTTAATAAAACCAAAATTTTGTATTTTTTAATTTTTTTAAAGATTATATCAAGTACCAAAATTGATGAAATTAAAAGAAGTGGTTGGATCCTAGTGGGCCCATTTACAACAACCTCAAAGGCTTAAAAATCCTATTTCCGTCGGCCCACGACAGTCACACACAAATCACACGTTTGATTTTTAATATTCAAATGATCGGTTTTCCAGCCGCCCATCTCGCTCGCCTACAAGACTTTCAATGGACTACACACCACACAATCATCATCAGGGCCCCACCGCATCATTTGGTCGGCGATGCACATTTCTTCCTCGCCTCATTCGCCGTAGCTACAAGTAATCACAACCACACACGCCCATTTACTAGCTGTAAAGTCACCGACATGTGGCTTTGAAAATGTGGCCCCTACTCTTCCACTGGTTACCTGCACCATCGGTTACTTAGCCCGTTATTTTATTAGGCATATATAAAAGTCAAAAGTTCTTACTGAACACTAACACAAAATTGAGAGCTATATTCTTAGCAAGCAAAGCAGCAAGAAATAGCTCTTGATGCTTCTTTTGATAGGGAGAATTTAGGTTGAAGAAAAATTATTTTTGGAGAAAATGCCAATTAATAGAATTGCAATCGGGACGTCGGGGGAGGCAAGCCATCCGGATGCGATTAAGGCAGCTTTAGCAGAATTTTTTTCAATGCTTATTTTTGTATTTGCCGGAGAAGGATCCGGCATGGCTTTCAGTATGATCTCAAATTCGATTTTTTTTTTCTGTGTATAGACAAAAATAAAACATTTATTTCATGCAATTATGTGTTTAGAAAATATTTAATAACAAATTTTCAAAATAAAAATTTATTATTTTAAAATATATTAAGAGTCTTGAATTTCAATTATATTAAAAGTGAGGGTAAAAATTATTATAAATAAGATTGAAAAAGATTTTATATTAGACCTTAAAGTTTCAGTAAAAAAATTTGTGCTCTTTTTACCAAACACATCTCACTGAATTTTCATTTGATTTTCATTGAAAATTTTTGAAATTTAACTGCACTAAGATACAGTTGCAACCAAGTTCAGCCTAAGTCATAGTTACTAACCAAATGATTAAAGAAAACCATTAAATTAGTTGAAACAATGATTATTAAAGGGCGGTTTTTTTTTTTTTTTGTTGACAGACAAGCTAACCAATAATGGGTCAAGCACACCAGCCGGTCTTGTTGCTGCATCATTGGCTCATGCATTTGCCCTATTTGTGGCGGTTTCGGTAGGTGCAAACATTTCAGGTGGTCATGTCAACCCCGCCGTGACATTTGGTGCATTCATTGGTGGCAAAATTACTTTGCTGAGAGGCATTTTGTACTGGATTGCACAGTTGCTAGGCTCAGTCGTCGCTTGCTTGCTTCTTAAGTTTGCCACTGGCGGATTGGTAAGAAACTCGTGAAAATTTTGGTCATCTAATTGGTCGAGACTTAAGAGTACATGCATGCACCTGAGTATTTAACTCAATTGATTGATATAAATTTGACCGTTTGTTTATTTTATTTTGTAAAACAATTATAATTGGTGTCATTGTAGGAAACATCAGCATTCTCTCTATCCTCGGATGTATCAGCCTGGAATGCACTTGTCTTTGAGATTGTGATGACTTTTGGCCTTGTCTACACGGTATATGCCACAGCATTGGATCCCAAGAAAGGAGATTTGGGGATTATTGCTCCTATTGCCATTGGCTTCATAGTAGGTGCCAACATCTTGGCTGGTGGTGCTTTTGATGGTGCTTCAATGAACCCAGCAGTCTCATTTGGTCCTGCTGTGGTTAGCTGGACCTGGACTAACCACTGGGTCTATTGGCTTGGCCCATTGGTTGGGGCTGCCATTGCTGCCATTGTTTATGACAACATCTTCGTTGGTGATGCCTCCCATGAGCCTCTCTCTACCAGTGATTTTTAACAACTTCTTTCCTGTCAAGGCTCAAGTTTCTCTCTGAAATTTTTATGTCATGGAGAGAACAAAAAATGGGACAAGAATTGAAGTTGATTGTTTCTCAGGATGAAATTTGGGTTGAATTTGAATTGCTTGTATTTTTGTCTTGTGTAGTAGATGTAGTTGTTTTGTTCTAAATTTGTGTTATAGGAGCGAATAAGAGCTTCTTGGCTCTCTTTGTTATATCAGTTAATTTATCATGGTCATCTGAAATTCTTAAGAAATTTTACGTAAGTTATGCTGATATATCGATTATCCAACGAAAATTATCATCTAAATTGATAATAAAATATTATAAAGTTCATACGATTTTATCTTATAAAATACTTCTCATAATATGAATTCATTTTTTTTATATATATCATAATATATTTTTAAAATATGTTAATGTGAAATTGAAGCCTTAGATCAATAGCTACAATGCAATGGTAAAAAAAAAAAAAAACTATAAAGTGATTTTTCTTTTTTGTCAGAAGTTATAAAATAAATAATTTAACTAGCTTGATTTATTTTGATCAGTCTTAGATATCAAGATATGAAAATTGATTGTTTTATCAAATTAAAATCTAAATATCAGCCTAAATGTGACAAAAAAAATAGATTAGATATTTGATTTTGGCATATGAAAGTCCATTCTATTTTGTACTATACAAAGTACTTCATTCTCCTTTCTAAAGTTCACGTATGACTTTTGAATAAAAAAAAAATCAACTTGTAATCTTTGAGATATATAAATCTCCTTAATAGAGACATTTAAATAAAAAATTATTGGCTATCAAATTGAAGTATTATCTTCTTTGAAAGTCTTGATTGATAATTCATGTTTGTCCGATTCAATTCTTCCTGCTAGTTAATTCAAGTATTCAACCTCTCTAATCAAGAAAATAAATTAGAAAAATTTTCATGGATGCGACTTCCCCTATTCTTTAATGTTATTATATGATTTTCAGCTTTAATATCATATCATAGTCAAAAGTGTGCCATAATCAATCCAACCAATAAAAATCAGAAAAGATCAAGGATTATGGTGGCTGCAAAGATCAGCTTCACGTTATTGATTTCATATTCATGAGCTTAAGAAACAAGAAATGACTCATTGACTTAATCTATGGTACAAGATTTAGTGATTATAAAATCAAACATTAGGAGAAGATTTAAAGAAATTTTATAACCCTTTCTTGTTAACTTGATTTTGAATCTGTCTTGTAATCTGACGCACAATTTCCTTGTTTATGGCCGAATATAAAGGACATGAAATTAAATAAATATTCTTAACACTGCTGGTGTTTTGAAGTAGTCTGACAAATAATATTGAAATTTAACCTGGATTCGGTCGTTGGAAAACATGCATAAGGATAATGTGGGAGAGTGTATCTTTAAGATCATTTCAGGAAGGGCAGGGTCTTAACTTTACAAAATTTCAACAAAAAAAGGGAAAAATTATGCATATTTCACATAATCTTAATTACTAAACTGCTTATGTGTATGGATTGGAGTATCCACGTAACAAAAAAGTGCATCATAAAATTGGGTTGGGAATGAAAACCTTATTGGAGAAACTAGTGATTTTTCTGGCAGTACAAACTGATCATGTGAGCATGTTTGGGACAAAACTCATTGATGTTTTGCACTTGAACAAACATGTAAGAATACCTTTCTTGTGAAATTGGTGAAGGAGACTCCTCTGGCTCGTGAGATTCATGTGAAGAAATCTTAGTCAAATTTCTGAAACACATACCATCCGCTGTTGTTAGGATTAATGGTTCCACAGCCACAACATCTTGTAGACGCTCGGCGAATGAAATCTCATCATCTTGATTGGCAAATCCCTCCAATTTAACCAGTTTGAGATGCTGCAACTTTTTGTATCTACCTACTTGCTTGGAACATGTGGCTGCACTTGGCATGACATAGCTGTTATGATCAATCTGCACATTCAATAATCAGTACATCAATTCCTCTAACAAGGATCAACATTTCAGCATATTTAAGTAGATTTGCAGGATTAATTCTAAGGTTGCTTTCAAATTCATGATTAAACGAAGTGTCAAATATTTAAATTACAGAAATCTGTTATCTAATTTATGAAATATTATTTGTTGTTTCACAAAAAACATTTCACTAATATGATTTTACGTCGTTATATATATATGTATATATTACGGAAATCCACATCAAACCTGTAAAATTTGATTCAAAAGTCACGTAATTTTATTCTATAAAAGGTAACTTATATGAATTCAAACATATATAAACTATAGCGGATCTTTATAATATCCGAGATTGTTGTGTTACACAAATACTAGCAATGTGATTCACAAGATATGTACCAAAAGTCAAGAAATTCAAGTTATCTGTCTCCCAAAGTCAAGGGAAAATTAAACTTACAGTCACGAAGAGTCTCTCTAAGGAAGGACAGAGTTTCAAGAAGGTGATTAGAGCATCATTATTGGCTACTCCCTTTGAATGATTATCGATCCACCAAAGCTCTTTTAGCCTATAAAATTGGAAATCAGCTTGAAAAGATGATAGTGATGGACAGATTAATGCCTGCATTTGCAAAAAAAAAAAAAAATCTGATTATTTATTCATTATGACTGCGCTAGAAGCAGCCTAGTTTGAAACTAAAATTAGAAAAATACGCTAACAGTGGCTGGGTCTATTGCTCATAGAGTGCAAGGTTCTTAATTTCAGTAACTCGAATCCAAATTTTGTCAGCCTCCCAAAGTATAAAAAAAAAATTAGAAAAATAAAAATAGCGTACCTGAAAAGTCCATTTGCATAAAGTAAGAATTTCAGAATTCTTTATTGTCAGCAGGACTCGATCAAAATCACAAGTTTGGAAGGTACTGTAGCCAGGGCCTTTCCTAGAATCAAGCATGGCATTTGCCAAGTTGAAATGAAACTCAGGCCAAAACCAAGGAAATTGCCCTCTATACAAAAAAGTTGTAAGTTTATAAGATCTGATATGGAGAGATTTCAAGTGTGGACAATCAAATATGGTTAAGTTTAAAAGCTTTCTCTCAGAATCAATGCTCAAGGATTCCAATCCATTGCATCCAATGATTTTCAGGTTTTCAAGAAGCTGAAGATTTGAGACCATAGATGAAACTGCTTCACTGCTGAGGTGGTTTACTGATATCAAGTAAAGGGTCTTAACAAAGAAACTAGAAGGAGTTGGCTGAAGACTAAGATTTTGAGGGTTCAACTCTATTTGCCAGCCAAACTGCCTAGGATGTTCCTGGTTGTCTGCTGAGAAATCCAGGTGAAGTTTATTGTTAGGTGCAATAATGGCTGATAAGACACCATCTGCGCCAAAATGGAACCGAAGCCTTCTGGTATTCCTTGTTGGATTGTGCTCATCAAAATTTGTCAGGAAACCTGAAACTGCAGTGGGAACATCTTCCTTGCTTCCATGTTGAACCAAAGCCAGGTTCCATAAAAATCTCCATCGGGTCGATAGGAATATAGTTTGGATAGCAGATTCAAAGGGAAGTAAAGAGATTATGTGGAAAAGTATCTCATCTGGTAAACTACTGATAAAATCTCCAGCTTTTACTTCCATGGAAAATCTCCTGTTCCAAGTTCAAATTCACAAGAATGCATGAACATTAACAGAGAGAAAAAAGAAATAATAAAACAATAAAAACCTCACCCTGGCATTTGCCGTGAATCAAATTGGAGCTGGTGGAAACTCCTCTTATAGGATTGATTTTCTTGGGAGGTTTTGCCAAAATGGTGATTAAAAAATCAATTTCACCTGCTTATTGTCGGATTGTGTCTTTTTTTTCACAAATTTAGCAATGGATTAGCCCAGTTGTAATTATAGTCAAATTCAAAAATTACAAGCAACTGACTTTAATTAATGTTATAAAATGGCCGTAGGACTTTTGTTAAATTGTTCTAATTATGCTAAAATATGCAAGGAAATGATATTTGAAATTGTCAATAAAAAGAAAATTAGTTGCTTTTAAGTTAACTGGCACTTGCTCGTCTTTTTTTTTTTTTTTTTTGCAAAGATGCAACGAAAATATCCCAAAACTTAATTTAATTAGTTCATGCAATTATTCTTAAGAAATTGCATCTAACAGATTTGGGGTTTAAATATGGATACTTAGAATTTTTTTTTTATTTTCAAGACTTCATTTATAAAAAAAATATAGTTCCCATTTGGCCAAAAAGAGAAAAAGAAAAAGGTCTCCAATGAAATGGAATTGGGCAATTAAGTAGCTTTAAGTTACTTCTATAATTGTCACTCAATTAGTATCTCTTTGTATAAAAGTACAAATTTAAAGCTTGTTAAAATTGAACAAAGTTTTAAAATTAAAATTTTCATTATCTTTAAATTAAATATTTCTTATTATTAGAATATTTTAATTTAAAATTATGAAAAATTATTTCATTCACCGTAGAATTTTTAGACCTCACAAATACGATTAGAAGAGTAACAATGATATATTAAAAAATAAAAAATAATTTTAAAAAAACATATGTTAAGCTCTTACCCTCATTTATGAAGTTAAAAATTTTTAGTGTATAAAAAATAAATTCATTTATAAAAAATTATATGGCAATGAAATTTTTAAATTCTATTATCAGAATTAACATAATGATATATATCTTTTATGATATAATAAAAAATAAAAAATAATTAAAAAAAAGTGAGACATGAACTCAAAATTTAGTTGTGTCAAACAAACAAAATTAATTAAAAAAGGATTTATGGAATGCGAGGCAGCAAGAGGGGTTAATCATCTTGCATTGCTAAGTCAAAGAGTACAAATATTTTGGATATTATGTTTTTTGTCCTCAAGGTTATATAGTAAATTAAACTCTCAATACTTTATGTTACTATTTTAAGTTGACTAGGGTCAAGATACATTTGGTATAATTGATAGTTTTCTATAAGAAATAGTAAGACATGCCATTTTCTTATTAGTGTCTAAAATCTAAAATTTTAGGATTTTCTTGATATAATTTATTAGTTGGATCACAAATTTAATCTTCATTAAAATCATTTTATTTCCATCCATTCTTGTCCCTGTTAGACTATATTAATTTAAATCAACATTTTTATCCTACCTTATAATTCTTATTTTAAGTAGTTTTAACAATTTGTGTATTCATGTTGTATCTATTTTATGTCAAATACGTATTGTAATACTCGTAAAAAAAAACTGTTTTAAGTATTTTTATAAGTTGAGAAACTCTTTAATAAAGAATAAGAAATGCATAGGACCTATTGATAAATAATCCAACTTTTAATAGGGTTAGCATTTATCATTTGTGTGGCCAACAATTGATCGAGAAAAAAAAAAGGTTTATTTCTCCTTTCTTTTGTATATAGAAAAGACAAATCGAAAGATTTCAAGTGAAGGATAAGAAACAAAATCTACAAAAAGAATTGTTTTTCAGAGGTGAGTAAATAATTTTCTTCAATTTTAGAAAAATAATATTGATTGTTAAGTCTTGAGATTTAACTTATAATTGAGAAATCCTAAAATTTTAGGAAATCCATTGTCCCTCTTCAAGATTAGTTTAGGCAAATTATTTTGACTTTAATTAGGGTCTAATAAAGTATTGAGAAAGTTTAGTAATGTGATTTTATTATTGTAAAAATAGGAAATAGAAATTTAATGGGATTAGAAAGGAAAATTTTTATTTCGTATGAACCCTAGTATTTGTAGTGACATATTAAGATAATATTTTATATTAAGGGATTAAATACTGCTATGATTATTATATATTATTCGAAAGCTTGTTGAATTTAATTTTCAATGAAATAAACAGAAGTCAATTTTGAGTTTTTTATGAAGAGTAATTTAATTTTTACTTAATGATGTGCAGGCTGCTTAGTAGTGGCAACACGGAGGAATTATGAAATTCTTCTTAATTTTTATATAAGGAATTATGTATTGAGCATACATGTTTGAAAAGGCCACTAAGTTTACTTTCCAACAAAACATACAGAACTGAATTCCAAGTCTCCTATGAATAAATACATAATTTTTATTAAAAGGTATACATGCTATTGGGAGCAACATATGACATGCATTGTAAAAATTATTATAATTAATCTATAAGGAATCACAAGATAGGTAATATATGGTTAGAAAGCTTATCGAGTCTAGTTTTTAACGCATTAAAAATATCTTAATTCTGTTTGATATTTTGAGATATGGCTATTTTAGTGAAAGTAGCTTAGGTTGTCAATATTAATTAGTTGAGTTAACATTTGTTTAACCTAATTGTTTTTTATATAATTAGTCTCAAAATGGGTTAATTAATTACTATTATGTTGAAATTATCTTGAAATAAGTCGTTAATTATTTGAAAGGAAAAACTAAGTGGTGGAATTGAATGAGGTAAAGTAGAATCTCATACACTTTACTTGTTTTCAAACATATATATATATATATATGTATATTTCAGAATGAATAAATGTTTTATTTCATTATTTTCGATATATGAAAATAGGATTAAACATATGATTGTTTTGGTGTTTGCTATGTAAATGATAAATCATGTTGAAAATGATTTATGTTTAAGAAATGATTTTATGATAGCTACATTTTTACATTCCTAGGAAGTGGGATCATCGACATCAGAACTAATTCTATTGTCATGGCTAATGGGTTATAGTAGTTAGTATATATATGATCATATGACCTTCGCTAACAGGTTATAATAGTTAGCATTAAGCCTTGGTTAACGAGTTATAGTAATTAGCATAGATATGATCATACAGTCTTGCTAACGGGTTTAATAGTTAGCGTCAGGCTTTGGCTAGCAGGTTATAATAATTAGTAATAATTATGATGATGAAATTATTGATACGACCAATATCACCAGTTATAGTAGTGACTATAGCTAACAATAAATGAAATATAATGATGATTTATGATAATTTTACAAATTGATCCAGAATTTGGTGACATGTTTTCATATTGATTTACGATCTATGAAATGTTTGATAGAATGCTGATCTTTGAATTATTTCTGACATTATGATTTGATGAATATTTTTGGAATGATCTATATAGTACATATGAAAGCTATGTTTGATCCGATAAAGTATATGAATCTATACTTGCTGAATTGTGGTTTGTTCAATCCCCATTTTCTTTTCTTTTATAGATAAAATGAATGATAACTATGATTAATCTTGTGAAAAGCTAGAAGAATCTAAGCATTGGAGAACTATTTAGAGAATAAAATTGTATGAAGTATTGTCCCTTTTAGTTGCAATACTCGACATTGATGATTTAAAAACTTGTTATTTAGTTATTTTACAGATATTAAAACTTATTAAGAACCTTATTTTATTTGAGAAGTTTTCAATGGTTATAGATTAGGCTTCGTGTTGCTTTGAGATTTTACTTCAAAGTAATATAAACGTGTTATATCTTGATCTCGATGTGTGACATAAAGTGGTATTAAAGCCAAGGTTTAAGATCCAAAAAAGGCAAAAACCAAATTATAGTGTGTGTAGAACTTAAATATTCTTAACATTTATGCTAATAAGATTCATTTGTTTCATTTTGCTCACTTACGAACTATTTTCGTTGATACTAATTTAAGTGAGAATGAGTGATAAAAATGAGGCATTAGCAGACCTTACTGGTCAAAAGAAAAGAACTGATAAGAGAAAGGATGAATCTGAAACCATCAATGTTTTAAATGAGCAAATTAATATTGAAAATGCTCCTAATGCTCCTATTATGCAAGATGATTTAATTAGAGTGTGTTAGGTGGTGTCTAATTTGATACAACAATAGCAGACATAAGAAAATCTATAACAATGTGAGATAACTTATGAGCGATTTCAAAGGGTTAACCTATCTTCAGTTTGAAGATGGCCATAGTCCTTTTGACTACAGAAGTTTGGGTTAAAAAGTTGAAAAAACTTTTTAAGGCGATACGAATTTTTTAGGATTTAAAGTTAAGTTTGGCTATCATTCAACTAAAGGGAAATACTAAGTACTAGTGGGATTTTATAAATCTCACATTTGAAGATTCAAGCGAGCCTTTAACTTGGGAAAGTTTAAAAAAAAATTATTAATATTTTCCAGAGTTAGTGAAAGTAAAGAAAGAGAATGAGTTTTTGTAGTTATAACAAAAGCATAATATGTTTGTGCTAGAGTATGCCAACAAGTTTAACAAGTTAGAATGTTTTTGCACTCACATCATTAACTCAGATAAGAATAAGACGATACAATTCGAGCATGGGTTAAAGCAAGTATTCAGTCTTATTTGTCTTCTCACATAATTGATAGTTACAAAGATATGTTACAGCAAGCATTGAAGATTGAGTCAGATATAAAAATATATTAGTAAGAGAGGGGTGATAAGAAATGCTTGAGGTTTGAAAGAGATCAAAGTAATCGCCAAAAGAATGTAAAAGGAAATGTAGGTAAGAAATGATGGATGAAATTTGGTAGTAAGCTCGAGAAATGTAATTTTTACGATTGGTTTCATTCTAGACCATGTCTTAGGAAAGCAAGAGTTTCCTTCAAATGTGGGAAATATAGGCATATTGCTCGAGACTATCCAAACAAGAAGAATGATGTTGTTAAAGCTAAACCAGCAAAATAACTACAGAAGGGAAATGCTCGAGTTTTCGTTTTTACTCGTCAAGATGCTAACACAAGTGACAATGTGGTGATGGTACTATTC